GAGATTGGTCAAGGACCCAACGCCTCTTAAAGTGCTGCCTGAGATGTCTGTGTAGTTGAAGTTAAGAATCTCAAGCCGTGGCAGCGTGTAGAGGTGCTTGATGCCCTCTACACCGAGGCCTGAGGTAGAGTACAATTCAATGCTCCTCAGGTGGGTGATGGTGGACACATGCGCGAGCATGGCGTCTAAGAGGCCCCAGGTCCAGACTGGCATTCTGTGATGCTGCCTTGACTGCCTGGAGGAAATGGGTGGAGAGTAAAAAGGAAACATGACAAGGGTAGGGATGAAGACAGTGGCAAGAGAGAACAAGCAAGCAATGCAAGCCCAGTGAAGCGAATCACTTAAAACTCACCTCCAAGCAGCCTTCCGATCACCTTTACTCCTGATTTTCACATCAACATTCAACTTCAGATTTTGTGTCTTTCGCCCTTTTTTACGGGCTGCCGATTCCTCCATGCTACGTGGGTGAATTCAACTCCTACACCTCCTTTCTCCTTTCCTCCTCCCATGCAACATCCTCTGTGATTTCTTGCTTTCTCTTTCTATTCTTCCCTCTCAGCCCTGTTCCACCCGACTCCTTACTACCCTCAACGAACTTCTCTTCCCTAGCGTCCTTGCGATCCGCCAACTCCCCTTTAACCACGGCCAACTCGCATTCAACAGCTTCCAACTTCTCCTTAACCACTACCAGCTCCCCCTTAACTACTGCCAACTCCCCCTGCACTGCTGTCGATGTGTGCCGTAGGTCATTCACCTCCTCTACCACTGCCACCAGCGCTGCCTCTTTCATTTTCAACTCATCCACTGCACTCGTCACTCCCTTATCAACCATATCATCCACCCACTCCCCTCAAGCAACCCTGCATGTCTAACTGCCCTTTCCGTTCAACTGTCTTAATAACTGCAGACTAGAAAAATTAGACACGTGCAGCCCGGGTAGGGCAGGGTTGCACGTCATGAGAGAAAAGAGAAAAGAATAATCGGAGTGGTCAGTGCATACACGAATTAGACCAATTACACGGGCATGAGGGATGAGATAGTGCTGACAGTGCTGGTCGACGGAGGGGTCCGTAGACCAGAGTGTTCCTCGACTGGAGCTGTGGTCGACGAGGGAGGCGTTGACCAGAGCACTGGATGGTCAACCAGGTCGACTGGGTAACCTGCTTGGCAAGTTCTGCAGAGGCACGCAAACGTCGTCGAGGTTGCGGTGACAAAGGCGAGTTAGGGCTGGTATCCCGAAATCGATGTGGCTCGACAGGCGCAGACCATAGCCGACAGATGCACAACGGTGCAAGTCGGGCCAATCATTTGCGCGCACCTATGAGCATGCGCACTGCTGCCATCGACGGGTGCAACGCTAGACAACCGCTCTGTTGCAGCGTTGGCACGCCGTCGACCTGCTGTGTTGGAAGGCCGCGTTTCTGCAGTGATGGCGCGGCTCCTCTACGCAGCGCTGGCAGGCGGTCACCAATGTTGTGCTGGTGGTCGACCAGGCTAGTTGTAGAGTTGTTAGGTGCCTGATGTGGTCATTCTTGTTATTGTGATTCCTATGATTCTGTAATCTCAATCTTTGCTAGTGCAAACTCTTGCCAGATTCTCCCGTGAATGTGCAAGTGCTAAAGAACCAGGTAAAGCTACGAGCACTCCTAGATTTCGTGCCAACCCCCGTAGTCCAGCTCACGACCATTATAGAGTGAATCTCCACAAGCCAAATGCTCGAGAAGTTGAGCAACCGTTTTGAAGTACAACATGGTGAAATCTTGCGAATTGGTTTTGCCAGGTGCGCACTATCGACCACGTGTTGCCGTTCCGCAGGTCGAACTTTGCCAAAACCTCCTGGGCGAAGTTTTGCATGCCTCCGCAGAGTTTCGCACACCTCTGCGAATTCGGTCGATCAACTGGACACCGCTCGATCGAACAGCGTTCGTCGAGCAGAGCTCCTCGACCAGAACTCTTTGACCAGAGTTCGTCGCGCAGAGCTCGTCAACCAGAGCTCTCGACAAGCTTTTCGACCATCACTCCTCGATGGGCCTCCTCAACCACTGTCTTTGACCAGCACTGCTCGTCGACCCAGACTCCGAGCCTGCTCGACCATAACTTCTGTTGGACTACAAAAGCCCATTTCTTCGACCAATCCGTTGAGAATTTCCCGTCGACGGCGAGATTGGCTGCGCCCAAGCGAGGGTGGGGCCTTTCTCTTTGACAACGTTAACGTAGTGCTTCTGAAATTCTGGTCGACACATGACTCATCCTACAAGCTGAGCAAGGCACATCTACACAGTTGTATTTTTTCCCCGCTGACCTTACTCTCACACATTTTCGCGCATAGCGCATCACCTATCGCACTTGATGGCAGAGAGGCTAATACCGCTACCGCCCCTGCTCGACCCGAGTCTGGAAGAAACGCACGCAAAATCGCGGGCGATCGCCCGAACAAGCGCCGGGCAGACGACGGGGAAATTTCCTTGACTGGCATTGACGTTCTGCTGGGTGGGACGGAGGCACACGCCGCTGGCATCGAGGCACACACCCCTGGTGTGCCTCGAGCCCCTGTGGCCCCTGACGCACCAGCCACGACGGAAAGCACCAAGACGGTGCCAACCAGCACAGTTGGTACTCCGCGGCCGCGTAAGCAACGCAGGCCTCAGGGCCTTGACGCACCTGTGGGGCCTCACTCGCAAGTGGTGACCCGGCGCGCAAGTGTTGCCGAACTTCATTGCACCCCAACAACAGCAGCGGCTGACCCTGTTACAGCAGCAGGCCCTTGCTGTTACTGAAGAAATCGCTACACCAAACGCAAATTTTGTTTCTGCTAAAAGCGACAAGGCGAAAGCTGAGTCCGTAAAGCTGGCTTGTAGGACAAAAACGGAAGGGGCGAAGACACCCGGGCCGCTGCCGCTGCAGTCTTGAACAAAACTGTTTGTGAAAACCGGTTGCCTTGCATGTGACCATCCTCCCATGGCCTGCTAATAACCCCCTTTTTTATTATACTCATCGCTACCTTCTCATAATCTCCTCTCCTAATCGAATTATGTCTCAAAACTTTCTTCTACCCCTCCTTCATTATGCTAATGCAATGCCTTTGTGCATGCCTCTATATACGTTTCAACTCTTTGAAATCGTACAATTCCATTTATATAGGTTTTCCTTTACTAGTGATGCATGGTTTGACCAGATGCAAACATCTGCTTGTCGTGTTTGTGCTATAGTCAGACAGACTCTTGGTTGATTCGGAACTACCTGCTGTCATGTGCATTCATGTTGGCAGTTCCAAGTTGCTTGGTGTGTACGAAGCTGCCAGAGTCACTTTGGGGCAACAAGTGGGAGTCGATGGATGGAAAGAGACCATGGAGACGAGAATGAGGGCACTTGGCTTGCAGCTGGAAGAGACTAAGGGGGAGCTGGCAGCAACCAAGGCGGAATTGGCTGAACAAAAGAATGTAATGACAGCGCAAGCGGAGGAGCTAGCAGCAACCAAGGAAAAGTTGACAGCAGCATTGGGGGGGTTGCCAGCTGCCAAGGAGGAGTTGTCAGCTGCCAAGAAGGATCTGTAAGCTGCCAAGGAGGAAGTGCAAGTTGCCAACGAGGAGGCGCCAGCTGCCAACAAGAAGGCGCCAGCTGCCAACCAGAAGGCGCCAGCTGCTAAGGGGTCGCCAGTTGCCAAGGGAAATTCGGCAGCAGTTTTAGGGGAGCTAGCAGCAACCGGGAGGGAGTAGAAAATAGCATTGGAGGAATTGGCAGCAGCCTTGGGGGAGTTGGCATATGCCAAGAAAAATTCAGCAGCAGTGATGTGAAGTTAGCAACAGGCAGGGGGGAGTTTGAAATAGCATTGGAGGAATTTTGCAGCATCTTTTGGGAAGTTGGCATCTGCCAAGGAAAATTCGGCAGCAGTTTCTGGGAAGTTGGCAACAAGCAGGGGGGAGTATGAAACAGCATTGGAAGTGTTGGCAGCATCCTTGGGGGAGTTGGCATTTGCCAAGGAAAGTTTGGCAGCAGTTTCTGGGAAGTTGGCAACAGGCAGAGGGGAGTTTGAAAGAGCATTGGAGGAATTGGTAGCAGCCTTGGGGGAGTTGGCATCTGCCAAAAAAAATTCGGCTGCTATTTCTGGGAAGTTGACAACACGTAAGGGGGAGTTTGAAATAGCAATGGAGGAGTTAGCGGTGGCTTTGAAGGAGTATGCTAATCTTTAGAACTGAATTCCAGTTGCTGCTAGATTGCGCTGCTCGCTTGGGGTGCTGGCACTGACAGTGCAGATGCCCACAGGGGTGAAGGGAAGGGATTACTATTTTAAGCGGAGCATATGAAAATGCAATGGTCATAGAATTGTTGTTTTTACAGTTTTCTATCACTAGGAAGTGCATATTCGGCAAAGTTTGCGTCAGGTTACAGTAGTCCGCAACACACATTACTGATTTGGAGATTGAAATGAATAATGCTCGATGTATCCCAATATGAAGTACTAGTAGTTCTGTATTGCGCTGGTGTGCACTGAGTCCATGCCAAGCATCAACCGCTGAGTATGTTTTGTTCCGATATGAAATTCAATGAGAAGGCATTCCTGTATGCTGGAGAAGCCGACTCTACCGAGTACGAAGTCGAGGAGTCAAAAGAGTCGAAGCAACATTAGCAACCGCCGGATCAAAACCAATGTAGGCAGAAACATTTGAAGTGAAAAGAGCGGGAACACGTTTGAAACGGGTTCCCGCGCCGCACGGTTTGAACTTCGCTGCAATAAGGGAATGTACACCTTAGAGTACATTGCCACCATCATCGCCCGGATATACGACAGTGTTGAATAGAAGATAGGGGGTGTCTATTAAACGGGTGTCTCGTATAAATGGGTGTTCCTCATTATAAGACACCCATATGTGTGTACGACTTAAGACATTGTCTTGTAATCAAAACAAGGGTTTATGGGGTTATCTTATAAGGGGGGGTGTCCTCTAAACGATCCTTAGTTTCTTATCGGGGGTACATGCATACATTCATTCTACTTATACCTAGCCCCCCTCCGTCATGGCCTCCTTATCTGCACAAACATCAGGCTCCCTAACACCCAGGTCTGGCACTCGCGAGACATGCCTAGCTGTCTGCCTTGGCTCAATCACGTGGTCAGCCTCGGCCGCCGCTCTGTGGTAGTTAAGGGTCTCTTGGTACAGCACCTCCAGGCCGGTTGCCATGGCCACCTCTCTGATGCCCTTCGCATGCATCTCCTCCTCCTCCTCCTCCTCCTCCTCCTCCTCCTCCTCCTCCTCCTCCTCCTCCTCCTCCTCCTCCTCCTCCTCCTCCTCCTCCTCCTCCTCCTCAATAGCTTGCCCAAGCAGGCGCGTATTGTCGCACGTGGTCCCCTCGATGCACATGTCCTCAGAGACATCGGTGGTGCTCCTCGCGCGCAGGTGAGACATCATGAAGTGGTTCTCCGTCCTGTCCAACTTGCTTGAAATCCCACAATGGCGGAACGCGTCAATGATGACCTGCTTGGGGACTTGATCCCACGCCTCCAAAATCCACTGCAGCACCACGAGGTGCGGAGGCCTCCGCAGGTTCCCTGAGAGTGGGACAGAGGCAGGGACGGCAGGCCGTTAGAGACATGAAGGCGTAACAAGACTGAACTTGTATAAAATTTACTCACCCTGCTTTGTCTTCATGTGAAACCCTTCATGCATAAACCACATGGCGTAGCGTGCGCGCACCCCCGCCTTGAAGCACCGGTTGATGGAGATGTCTAGGGGTTGAATCCGGCTCATGGAACCTGTTGAGATTAGTGTAGGGGTGATGCTATGCGTACGGCAGGCTTGGAGCATGCCCTGGATGGTGTGGCCTCAGTAGGAGTCCAACACCAGCATCGCACGCCTCGCATTCTGGCCGCGCAGGGGGTTGAGATGGGGCAGCACCTCCTTGGTCAGCCAGGTCTGCATAGCGCTCTCGTCCATCCACCCATTGTCCTGTGCTTGGCATACGACTCCTGCCAGGCACAGAGGGGAGAGAGGGCGGTCAGACAAGAAGGGCAAGCTCTACACTCTTGGAAAGCAGAATTTGATTAGCTTACCATCAGGAATATCACACTTCAACACGATTTTCAGCTTGAACCACACCAATGGGCGCATCTTCTCCCCGGATGCGGTGCACGTAAGCATCACCGTCAGCCGCGTCTTCTCATATCCTGTCGTACGGATTGGGACCGAGCGCGCGCCACAGCGCTCGATCATCCTCTCAGCCGGCATCTCAACGAAGAGAGGCATCTGGTCCGCGTTGATGATGCGCGCCAGGTCAATGTTGTGCCGTGCCCTATTCATGCGCACGAACTTCCAAAAAGACGCGCGGTCCTTAGCGCACTCTCCGCCGGATAATCACCGCACAACAAGAGGGGATGGGTAGAAACAAGAGAGGTGATAAGAGTTCTAGGCACATACAATCAAGAATAAAGCGTGGATTCACTTCCTTAACCACTCACCAGCCGATAACACTTGACCGACGTTGGTCTACACCCTCATGACCAAGTTCCAGTGGTCACGGAACCGTTGGCTCCAGTGTGAGCTCGCGTTCCGGTTCTTCCCGGGGTGGTGCTTCTTCATCCACTCGCGGCTCCACTTTTGCGTGTCTTTCACCGTGATTGCCACCCCATTCGCGCGCTGCAGACATATGTAGCGGTACAATGTCGGGGTAGTCTGAGTGGCGGCCCACCCCGTGCATCCGCTTTGTGAGAGTCCGACGGCTTATGCTGGCTTCACTAGCTTGCCTGGACTTTATTATGCTATTACTAGCTTGGGTTTTAATTTATCATGCATAAATATGCTTCATTACCTAGGTTACGTGCATTCTTATATTTTATTATAGTTATAGCACCGAACCAGGTTACGTGTACCGAACTCAAGCCCATTCCGTTTCCACCGAATTGCTTTCTACCGAGTTCGGGAAGGTTCTGTTCAGGACGCTTCGCGACTCTCGAAACATTCGCGTAACACCTGGATTACCTGCCTTGTGTCGATACTATATATAGCCTCGTGTTGTACCCAGATGGAGCATTTAATTCAGACTCTCTTTCCTGAGATTGATCCTAGATCCTCACACTAAGTAATCGGAGCCGTTTACACGCAAAGTTTTTTCGACCACTAAAACCGAATCTAAAAAAAACCGCGGGGGCAAGGACTGTTAAACACCGATTTCGGGTACGTAAAACCAGTTTCGTGTTTTCCACTCCCCCTCGTTTTCGGTTTTTGGACGCGCAATGTCGGTGTGAGGATCTAGGATCGAGCTCAGAAAAGAGAATTGTAATTGATTGATTCACCTGGGTACAACACGAGGCTATATAGGCTCGACACAAGGCAGGTAACCCATGTGTTACGCGAATGTTCTGAGGGTTGCGAAGCGTCCCGAACAGAACCTTCCTAAACTCAGTAGAAAGCGATTTGATGGAAACCGAATAGGCTTGAGTTCGGTACACGTAACATGGTTTGTTGCTATAACTATAATAAAATATAGGAATGCACCTAACCTAGGAAATCATGTCGGAACATTATAGCTGATGCATGTTTGTAGGCTATAGTGGGGTAGCCCATATGGGGTACAGGTTGCTAGGGTTTGCTATTTGTACCAATTTCTGACTTAGTCATTTCATTCCTGTTCAGTTAGTTTCACATGGTATAGAGCGGGTCCCTCCTAAGGACCGTTCTTTGGGCCCACCCACGATCTTTTTTTTCTGCCCGGAGCGCGCCCTATTCTCCCCGAGGCGCGCTCCCCCTAGTGCGCGTCGAGCTGCCCTTGTGGCGCCCCGAGAGTCGCGCGCGCGACTCAATTTTTTTTTTCGCGCGCGCGGCCCGGGCCCCACTTCGCGCGGCCCTTACATTCGCGCCGCGCCGCCCTCTCGGCTCTGCCGCGTCGCGCCGCCCTCGAGACGGCCGCGCGGCCTCTTCGTCGCTGCAGCAGGCCCCCCCCGCTGCACCTCTGTCGGCCCCGCCGCCGCCTTACCTGACGGCCGCCGCCTCACCTGACGGCCCGCCGCCTCGCCTTCTGGCCCGCCACCTCACCAGACGGCCCTGCCGCCTCACCAGACGGCCCACCGTCTCACCTGCTGGCCCGCCACCTTACCTGACGGCCCCGCCGCCTCACCTGACGGCCCGCCGCCACCTTACCTGACGGCCCCGCCGCCTCACCTGACGGCCCGCCGCCTCATCTACTGGCCCGCCACCTGACCTGACGGCCCCGCCGCCTCACCTGACGGCCCGCTGCCTGACCTGCTGGCCCGCTACCTCACCTGACGGCCCGCCGCCTCACCCGCTGGCCCGCCACCTGACCTGACGGCCCCGCCGCATCACCTGCTGGCCCGCCACCTGACGGCTCCGCCGTCCCTTGTCCCGGCCCCGCCGCTGCACCCTGACGGCCCCGCCGAGCCGCCCAGCAGCAGCTGAGCCGCCCAGCAGCAGCCGAGCCGCCCAGCAGCAGCCGAGCCGCCCAGCAGCAGCCGAGCCGCCCAGCAGCAACCGAGCCGCCCAGCAGCAGCCGAGCCGCCCGGTACCCGAGCCGCCCGAGCCGCCCGAGCCGCCCGAGCCGCCCGAGCCGCCCCACCAACCGAGCCGCCTGCTGCTGATCTACCCGACTCTCCCAGCCCGGTGAGCCTTTCAGCTGCTGCCATGGCCACCCCCAATGTTCTTACTTTTGACGCTGAGGGGAGGGCCATTGACTTTGCCGTCTGGATCGAGGACCTGCAGCTGTACTTACTGTGTGATGCGGTAGATGAGGTCTCTCTCTTTGACTTTGTCTCTGGCGCTGTCCCTGCCCCGCCTGCTGATGCTGACTCTGCCGTTCGCTCCAAGTGGGCGACCCGCGATGCTGCTGCACGTCTTGCTGTGCGTCGCCACCTCCCTTCCTCTGAGCGTGCCCACTTTAGTCAGTGCAAGACCGCTCAGGCCTTGTACGACGCTGTAGTTGCGCGCTACTCCTCCCCTTCCTCCGCTACCCTTAGCCGCCTCATGCTACCGTTTCTCTTCCCTGACCTTGCTTCCTTTCCTACTGTTGCTGACCTCGTTACCCACCTCCGCGCTAGTGACACCCGCTACCGCGCTGCCCTTCCTGCTGAGTTCCGCGCTGCGAACCCTCCTCCCATGTACATCACTCTCTACTTTCTCGTCACCCGTCTCCCTGAGTCCCTTCGTGTCGTTAGGGACCAGTTTCTCTCTGTCTGTCCCACCACTCTCACTGTCGACCTCCTTGAGGAGTCCCTGCTAGCGGCTGAGAAGAGTATTGTCGCTGTAGGGGCCTCTCGGGGTGACCCTCGCACCCCCATCTTTGAGGGGTGTGGTCCTTCCCCCCTGCTGCCCTCTGTCGCCTCTGCCGCTGCGGCCGACCTCGTTGGTTTTGAGTCGGTCGGCGCGGCGTCTGCCCCCAGCGGCAGACGCCGCACTGGCAAGGGCAAGGGGGGCAAGGGAGCGGGTGGAGCCAGAGGGGGCGGTGGAGGAGGCGGTGGGGGTGGAGGGGGGAGTGGGGGTGGCGGTGGGGGTGGTGGCGGGAGTGGAGGTAGTAGTGGCGGCGGTGGAGGCGGAGGTGGCGGCGGAGGTGGTAGCGAAGGAGGTGGTGGGAGCGGTGGAAGCGACGGTCCTGGTGGGGGAGGGGGCGGTGGAGACGGAGGTGGCGGTGGAGGAGGGGGTGGCGGTGGAGGAGGGGGTCGGAGTGGCTCGTCCCAGCGGAGCAGCTCTGGGGGTGGTCAGCGCCAGCAGCAGCAGCAGCAGCAGCCGCAGCAGCAGCCGCAGCAGCAGCAGCGCTCTCGCACCGTCCCCGGCCCTCAGCAGCTCCGTGAGTGGTACTTGCAGCGTCAGCGCGGTGGTGCGCTTGGTCCCTGCCCCTACGTTCTTCGCACTGGTGACCGTGCAGGGGAGAGGTGTGGAGGCGCCCACACAGCCCGTCGCTGCTTTGGCCGCCTCACCGACGCCTGGCGTCAGCAGTTTCCGGAGGCCGCTGAGATCCCCCGTTGGGGAGAGCTGTCTAGGGCTGGTGTAGCTATTTATGATCTTGACTTTGATGCTATTCTCTCTGCTATGTATGCTGTGACTGGTAGTGATGAGGATGACTGTTACCGGTGTTTCCCGCCCGACCTGGGCATTGGTACTGCCGCGTCAGGTACTACTGAGGCTGCTGCTCTAGGTGCCAGTGCGTCTGTGCTCTCAGGTACTGGTGAGTCCGCCCTCTCAGGTACTGTGTCGGCTTCGGCCTCTCACACCTTCACCCTTGACTCTGGAGCGTCTCGTTCCTTCTTTAGGGACCGCACCACTCTCACGCCGCTGAGTCGGCCTGTTGCGGTGTCCCTGGCGGACCCCTCTGGGGGGCCTGTCCTGTCTCGCTTCTCCACTGTCCTCCCGTGTCCGGCGGCCCCCTCTGGCACCCTGACTGGTCTCTACCTCCCCTCGTTCTCGACGAACTTGGTGAGTGGTGCTGACCTCCAGGATGCGGGTGTCCACCAGTTCACCCCTGCTCGTCAGCGGGTGACCCACTGTACGGAGGCGGATACAGGTCGCCACCTGGCTACGTTTACACGTCGGCCGGGGTCGAGCCTGTACACACTGACCACTGCTTCTCCTCCAGGTACTGCGTCTGGTAGGGTCCCTTCGTCTGGTCAGGTGTTTGCTGCAGCGTCCAGGTCTGGTCCTGAGTCTGCCCCTTGTTCGTGTCGTCGTCTGTCTCACGAGACCCTCCTCTGGCACCACCGCCTTGGCCACCCCTCTCTGCTTCGGCTCAGAGGCATGGCCTCGCGGGT